TCTGAAGTGCTGGCCGAATAGACGCTGGTAAGTGACAATCACACCACATGCTATTTTTTAAAACACCATTTTCATCCTACATGCAATAACATTTTCGCTCGCTGATGGTCAAGTTTATTCATAACACAAAAAACTCATATTCATTTATGAAACATCAGCGAAAGCTTTAACGGGCAGAACCGAAAATGTGACTTGAATTTGTGTAATTATTATTAATCAAGATCTTCATATTAATATGGCAAAGTTGTCTTGTCATGTGATCAAATTTATACGGTTAACTTTTGCTCACGGATCAAGGAAATTTTAAACCTTTCTACTGATCGAACAATGTTTGGAGCAATCAGAGTACGTAGGCGATTGCATTAACGTGTAGTTATACCAGGAAATGAATTGATTATAATGATTTGTCTAAACAGTCCCAGGCCTTTCGGCAGAACGTCCGACAGGCATATCAGAAAAGACATTTTGTTCAGGTAAAAACTTGAATTGGAATCACTTATATGGCCAATCTGGCCAAATAGACTGTTTTAAAGTTCTTTTGTGTTGACTCTCTCTTCTGTAACAATAATTTCACATACAAGTCATCCCCAATCTTGTCCCGTTTTCTGGAGCTAGCCCAGAGCGTTCGCTCCACATACCCAATTTCAGAAATCACCACGTCCGAGTTAAACTCGTCTCTTTCTTCACCCGAAAAACCCATAGTAATTGATGTTCGTGAAAAAGAAGAACAGGTGCAAGGCGTAATTCCAAGCGCGATTACCATCCCCAGAGGTGTATTGGAAAGAGACGTGGAGCAATTGGCTGGAAGCGTTGATGAGGTTAATGCCAAGAAGGATCAAAAGGTGGTTTTGTATTGCGCAGGTGGTGTGAGGAGTTTACTGGCGGCAGAGAGTTTGATTAGATTAGGATATAAGAAGGAGAATATATTCAGTTTGGAAGGCGGCTATCAGAAATGGAAGAAAGCCGGATTCGACGTTGAGCCGTATGAAAAGAAATAAAGGAGTTTTTGTTAGAGTTTCGGGAATGAGATATCCGTAAAGTAATTCTTATAAACTTTACCTTATGATTAATACCGTCTTATCTATTCGAACGTTTGATCCACCGCTTTTAATGGAAACTACAATCCCCGTTTCGCCCATTTTGCTTGCTCATTATCGTCAAGTAGAGTTTTGTCAGTGGTTCTTATTTCTGCTGGTTTAGCTGTTGATTGCTATGCACGTCTAGAAAATATCCAAACTTTTGAAAAGTTGTACAATCCGTTGTAGTTTTTGTTACGCGCGCAAAGATAGAGTGATTATTAACGCACGTGTGCAGTGAGTGCAAGTTATACGTACTCGAGTAGACTTTATATCAACAGATTTGGGGCAATAGGCCTGTGTCTCACTAGTTACTGACCGGTTATGTGTGAGCTCAGTTGACGAGACAGATGATTAACCAAACTTTCTGTAAAAATAAAAGTTTTGTCAAGAGGTCAACATTACTATTGGGTATACTTTTTGCGTCTTGTTTTCGAGACTGCTGGTGGCAAATGTCGCGCGGTTATTTGTTATGGGAAGCATATAGTTAGTGAAAATATTACTATTGTCACAATAGTAATGTAACTTTACCACTGTCGTGCTTTCATGCACAGATTATTAACGTATAAATGTTCGTTCTTCTGGACGTAAAAACTAATTTTCAAAATTATTTTCTCTCTAGTATTGGGGTCAAACGAACTAAACTGTTTGCAAATAACCGTTTACTGTTCGCATATAACCGTTTATTACCATATCACATACCTAGTATGTCTTTGCTATTTAAAATTTTATTTAACACGTTTGTTTTCTTGAAACAGTGTCAACAACTTCAACAAGATAGTGGCAGTCACGTGCTGTGCTATTTAATTAATATCTAAAACGTACAAAGACGATATTCAACAAAGCATTTTCAACATTGCAAACCCAATTTCCGAGCATGTTAAACCATTTTTCGGTAGAAAAAGAAGGAAAGCTTGCGAAAAAGTTTTTTGCTACCATAAGACATGAAAGTTGCTGTAAAGAATAATTGTGCAAGTGGCTCCTGCAAGACAAATTAAAAATATCAATTTAAAGCTATTGTTGTCAAAAATTTAGTAATAAACTTTCAATTTTTTTTAATTAATAGACAATGTTTAAGGAGGAGCATTGATATGCAAACGAACCTTTTCTCAGTAATGTATGAGGCGATAAAATTTTTTTTCACCTGAAAAACTATTTTGTTCAAGACATGTTGTTTCACGGCTCTTGTCCTTATGTTCAAAACGTTGCATGAACAAACACCATGATTTGTAGATATGTTTATTTACATCAGAAGAACTTAATTAGTATTGCCGTTGATTAATTGTCTTGTGAATGGAAAGATAACGTTTGAATATTGATTTTATACTGTACCATTACTACTATTACTATATACTATATTATACAATACTGTTAGACTGTTATTTATATTAAATAGAATAACCAATAAGAATCTATAAAGTCTTAACCAATAATAAGCCTCGAACGTTCAATGTTGCACTGTATGATCTTAATACCTGGATTTCCTAAAATGGTGAAATAATTAATGGCAACACAAAAATGCCAAGAGATTTCATATCCGAGTACGATGCCGAATAGTAATACTAGGATTACTATTATTATTGTTGCTAGCACGCGGTATCTAGCCATGTATAGGCGCAGTATATAGCAGTAATTCACAGACTTTTTGGCTCAAACAACCGGCATTGGTTGAAATAATCAAAATGTTGGGTTTTCCATTAAATATTGTAACAATAATAAAACGCAAAGTTGTAACCATTTGGACTTGATAAAAGGCAACTACAGATCAGTTTCACCAAATTTCACTGTGAATTTAAATTTATTAAACGTCATTAGTAATTAGGAAGCAGCCAAACGACATGTCATAGAGTGGCTTCAACATTGTTTATTATGATGAAGTGGATTGCAAAACGCTGCTCCCCGTGTTCTAATTCTGTTAATTTAGTGATCCATTTGTAGATGTGCACGGAAACGTAACAACATCATATGGCACGGAATTACATGTAAATTAGAAAAAGTACAAGTCGCATTTAATCGGTGGGACGTCATGCGATTGACAATGTAAAGGCAAATTATTATTCGTTCGTAATAATAGCCATGCAAGTTTCGAACCTATCGAGGTCTTTGTCATCAAAATATTGTTTTTTCCAACAATAAAATTGTAAAGATTATAGCTCTGCAAACACTCCTAAACAAGTTTGTTGTTACAATGTACGCTTTTTCAAACATTTCTTGCTAGTATATTGATAAATTCTACATTATACAAAATCTTTCATCTCGAGCAAAGCGAATCTAACGAGTGGGCATTCTAGGTGTAATTCGGTCGTGGCACATCGTATCGTCTTGGTAATCGTCGTATACAGAATCATCGCGTCGCTTAAAATAAAATAAAACTTTTGCCGTATAATATTACCAAGTTCAAAAAAAACGAACACTAAATTCTCATTACATTTTTCCTAAAGACAGAAAAATAAATAACTTTTCGTTTCTAATCTGACTGATATATCAAGTTGTTAAGTTTTTAATAAAACTTGTTTATTAGTCGGTAAAGAAACTCCTTCCATTACCAAAATGACGTTGTTGTTGTTTTTTCGCTAAAAATAATTAATTGTCTCGTGCCGTTTCATAAAACAAGTCCAACTCATACGTGCTAAAATCTATTATGTTTATTACTTGCAAATACATTTGAGGTTTTTCGTGGAAAAATTCAGAAAGATGTAATAACTTTGTGCAAAAACCACGCATACCAAGTCTTCCTTGGATCATCAGCGCACGAACCAGCGAAACCCAATAAATGTTATGGATATTTAATGTTGTAGTATTTGTAAAGCGTAAATGTATAACTATGCCTCAATATTGTCCAATATACGTTTACAAAAATGTTACGAGTAATTACTTTATTGATTTGCACACAGTATTATGTATCCAATGGAACAGACTTGAATTTTTATTGAAATTTAGATAAACGCACGATAAATATATCCCATATACGTAGGGTGTCTGAAAAGTTTTGACAATATATTTATTTTTCGAAAATGTACATAATAACTTTAAAATAAATT